ACAGGCCAATCTGATCTGGGAGATTATTCAGCTAAGATTCCTTCTTATCAGGTGACTCTAGGTTGTGTCACATGACAATAAAATTTAACTAAGACACCCTCACCCAGCCTCCTGTGGGAACCCCTCACCCATGTTCCTGCAGGAACCCCTCACCCCTGCTCCTGTGAGTGCCCTCACCCTTGCTCCTGTAGGAACCCCTCACCCATGCTCCTGTAGGAACCCCTCATCCAACTCCTGTAGGAACCCCTCACCCTTGCTCCTGTAGGAACTCCTCACCCATGCTCCTGTAGGAACCCCTCACCCATGCTTCTGTAGGAACTCCTCACCCATGCTCCTGTAGGAACCCCTCACCCATGCTCCTGTAGGAACCCCTCACCCATGCTCCTGTAGGAACCCCTCACCCATGCTCCTGTAGGAACCCCTCACCCATGCTCCTGTAGGAACCCCTCATCCAACTCCTGTAGGAACTCCTCACCCAACTCCTGTAGGAACCCCTCATTCCTGCTCCTGCAGGAACCCCTCACCCATGCTTCCGTAGGAACCCCTCATTGTGTTCCTATAGGGAACCCCCCCCATTGTGCTCCTGGAAGCAACCCCAGTTAATTCATTTGTTCACCAAGATGAACTTGAGTGGTACTGTTTCCTTGCTCTGTCGATGCTGCCCAATCTGGGATGAATAGCTGTTTGTTTACACCTCTCCTGGAAAAGTCTACCGAACGCTGGGGTACCAGAAGAGAGAAGAAAGATTACATCCTGTTTCTTGGCAACCAGCCATCCCAGTGCTGAGAACAGCTCCAATGTATAAACCCAGTCCCCAGCATCTCAGACCCAAGCCTAGTAAGCCAAGCTGTCTAGAACATGGCAAGCTGCGAATAAGCACCTCACTCCTGCTGTGCCTCTTGCCTGGCCCAGAGCTGCCCCTCTCTCCTTGGGTACCATTGTTCATCCAGCTGCTCAGACCAAGCCAGTGGAGTTATCCTTCATGTCTTCCATGGTGGTTTGTGGGCAAGGCTTTGGGGTTCTATTTCCCGATGATTGTATCATTGCTCCTAAGGCAGATTTTCCCTTCACAATAATAGTTTAATCAGTTAATTTCCTTAGTGAAATTGGGAAGCCCTGGCTCTCCTTCAGCAGCATCGTAGTCCAGGATGACTATTCCCCTAGGCCCACTGACGCTCCACACACTCGGTCCATCCCACGGGGCCCAGGAGCTCTTCCCACACCGCGTGCAAACGTGTTCAGCTGTTCGCTTGCTCACAAGGCTTCACCAGTGCCCCTTGAAATCCACAATCACACTTGGTCCCATGGACTACGCTGCCCTATGAGATTGGGCTCCTCATTCCCTGCTGTTCCTCCAGACACCCCCATTACATGCTCCAATCAAGTTCTGGAGATTTCTTAACCATATCCAGAACAAATCAAGCATATTCTTATCACACGGCATTTGATAGCAGTTTGGAAACCTCTTCTGGGTCATCCCCTTTTCTTTATTCATACTTTTGTCCAGACATGCCCCCTAGAGGTTTCACCAACACCTTTGTTTATTTTGTCTTTTCTTCTTCCTCTCTTCCCACTTTCCTCCTCATCTTCCTCCTCTTCTTTGGCTGTTCTGAAACAGATTCTTGCCGTGTAGCCCTGCTGGCTTGGAACTCACTCTGTGGGTCCCAGGCTGGCTTTGAACTTGGGATCGTCCAGCCTTCATGTCTGCAGGGCTGAGGTTGTAGTTAATGTACCGTCATTCTCAACCATCTATTTGCTTTATCTGAAATCATGTGGTTCACTTTTGTGATTGCCTGCTTCAGTCCACCTACCCCTACAGATTAATGGAGAAGAGGGCCCTTGCCTAGGTCACCAGCTCCTAACAGATAGTGTGTACTCAATGTATATCTGTTGAGTCAGTGAATAAATGGGTATTCAAAGCCCTCATGAGAAGGCTGGGTAATACCACTGCAGGGCGGCTCTGTACTGTTGTTTCCTGCCCTTCTGCAGGAAGAAGAGGCTATTGTCTCCACCGCCCCTGCTGGGTGGGAGCACAGAAGATGTGTAGGTTGTTTGAATTTCACTCTGAGGTCAGCTTAATGACTTATTTATTCGCAATATCCCACCTCATTCCATTAAGGATTAGCTGTGGACTGCAAAGCGTTTGTGAAATACAAAGATGGAATATAATTTGGCGAGGAAAAGGGCCAATGATGATAGATTGCCCAAAATACAAAGTCGTCTATGCCCCAGATGTTTGACTGGCTCTCAGAGTTTACAAGAGGCCCAAAATAGAAGACACAAAACTTTTTCTAAAACTAGATGATGTCATAAGAAGAAAAGTGGGACTTTGGGGTGCTGTAGGTAGTTACTGGTGTCTCTTCATAGGGCTGGGTTAGTGGATGCAGCCCTACTTACTGGTACAATAAGTCGGGGGGTCGAAAGGAAGAAAAGGCCTGGAGGACTCGCTTTGAAAAATCTAACTCCAAGTGGCTATATTTCATATTGTCCCTTGCTCTCCATGCTGGTCCAGTGGACAGCTGTGTCCCCTTTCACCCTCTTCTATGGGAACTACGTCATCTACTTACTTCCCACTTTCCCAGGTGAGTGGGAGCCACTCTAGCTGGTTTTGTTTGGGTCTTTTGTGGATATCTGACCTAATCTCTAACTGAGGTTCCCACTCAACCTCCAGTTGATCCCTTGTGCACATGGCAGGTCGTGAGAGCAAGCCCAGTTCATATTCTGATTGGTTACACCACAGAAGGCCATTGTTTCTGGGGCAGAGTTACTCACCAGAGCCTGCTGAAGTGGCAAATCTGGAAAGGTAGGTTTGGCAACCAGCCAGTAGGCAGCCAGGCCAGCTTTGTTCCCTGGATTCTGACTTACTTTAGCTGCTCCTCCTACCAGGGATGCCACACCAAACAAGATCTCATCCCTTAAAAAGCCAGTCATTTCTTGCCAGCAAAGAGATCCCAGCTGTTGAAATGCCATTATAGCATTGAATTCCATTTCATGGAAATCTGAAAGTGTAAATAAAATAAACAGAAGTGGAGTTGGGCAAAGGCTCCTACCGTCAGCAGCCATGGCTCCAGAATACCTTAGAATCAGTGTAAAATGAGAGGAACTGGAAACAGCCCAAAGCCCACCCTTGGGAAGTCAGATAAGCCACATTCATCCATGGGGTGGATTATAAAAAAAAATAAACTCTTCAAGAAAATGAGCTACTGATTATCAGAGTGCCTCGGGTGGATCTCAAATGTTCAATCCGTTCCCGAAGCCCGGTCCCAAAGACTTCATTTGTATCAAGTTCTAAAGTCTGCAGCAGCGGTTCAGGAAGCCAGAATGTGGCTGCCTGGGTTGAGGGATAACTCTGGGTGGGGGGCGAGGAAGGGGGAGACTTGGATGGAGATAACCTGTTGGGGACAGTCCCTACCCTGCTGTGTAACTGCTCTCCAAACATTCCAGACTGTACATGCGTTTACTTGCAGATTTTACCTCTAAGAATTTTGAAAAGATGGAGAGAGGAAGTCATTGTTGACCTTAGTCTCTATGCACCGCTTCATTGGATTTGAAACTTCGATTGGTCTCGGTTCTTGTATAAACATATCTGGAGCCAAAAGCAAAAAGACGTTCAAAGTCACTTAACTAAATCTGTAGAAGCCCCACCCTCAGTAAAAAATGAGTACAAGGTCACACATTTCTGTGGGGAGGTGATTTGTGGGCTCCCACCCCTCTCCCATCGTTCCTGTCTTCTCTAGACAATTGACTTCCATGCCTTTCTGTGAGTCCCTAAAGAGGCACCACCACAGACTCACAAATAGTTCTATAACTGCCACTGTGATTTCTCTCACCTTTCCAGGCACCCCTGCCTGTTGTCTCTAGTGTACCCAAGGTGCCACTGTGCTGGGAGGACCTTCAAAGACTTCCTTCTAGTGCCTGGTCCCAGAAGTGTATAGTTTGAGAGAGAGAGGGAGGAAGGGAGGGAGGGAAGGAGAGAAGGAGAGAGGGAGGGAGGGAGGGAGGGAGGGAGGGAG